AAGCTGTGTGTGTGTTGCACGTGCTCCCACAGAAGTGTTTAATAGCGTGATTGCTTGGATTTTCGTGGGTTTAGGACTATTTTCTTTCCGACTGCAGGTTCTCTTGTAACTCCTGGCATCATGAGCTAAGAGTTCTTCCTTCCCACTGCCCTGTTCAGTTGGAAAGGTGCAGAATCGTTCCAAATCAAGTGCCCCTGCCATGAGGTCACCTAATCAGTGCCTTTGTTACTACAGTCATGGTCACAATGGGTGACCAAAGAGATTTGGACCACTCTTTCAGGCCTGCCCAGCTCTTATCAGTTTGAGATTCAACACATAAAGTTTGTTCTTTCTTGACTTGGAGAGTTTCAATGCAAGTTCCTGCTTATTTGATGTTCTTTATTGATATCATCATTGCGGGGGGAGGAGGAGGGAATGATAATTACTGCAAAACTCTCTTAAACACAAATGTTTCCACTCCAGCCCTACTCCCTGACTCAGTTTCATGTCGGTTTGCAAAATCTGAGCAGCAGCAGCTTAGCAGCTTGTCAACCTGCGAGCAAAACCCAGCAGAAAGGGAAGTCTGAGATTGGATTTGTGTAGCAAATCATCAGATAACCATGGTCATCATTGCCAGTTACCAACACCAGATGGAGAGATACCCGATGCTTGTAAAAGGTGGTGTAGGTCTCACTCTCTGGCAAGCCTTACGAGGTGTGGAGACCAGGAGTACAGGTTTCAGAAGTTTGAAATAAAAAGCAACCCCACCCCACCCCCCAAAAAATTATAGGAGCAAGTTAGAGAGAAGATAAACCAACCCTATTTGTTTACTGGAACGGGGAATCTTGGCCATGATACAAACATACTGTACTTACTAAGAATGCAGATAAAGCAGAAACATGACATTTTTTACTGACAAACCCACTAAAATTCACCCACTGAAAGCGATGCCCAGAAAATGGTATTTTGGGTAGAGCCAACTCAGTCCACAACTCCCAAATCAACCCCCAATCAAACATATTTTTAACGTCTTGTTGAAGTTACAGAAAAAAGAAAAAAAAAAGGTGGGGAAGCTGAGCTAGTTTTCTGAAGGAAAAATATATAAATAAAAGGAAAAGTTACACAGAAATCAAGAATGGCTTTATCTGAAGAGCTGGGGACATGAAGCAGCTACTTAGCAGCAAATCAACCCCCAATCAAACATATTTTTAACCTCTTGTTGAAGTTACAGAAAAAACAAACAAAAAAAAAAAAAAGGAGAGATGGGGAGGGACTCTTGATCAGCGAGTGTAGTGACAGGATGAGGGGGAAGGGGTTTTAACTGAAAGAGGGGAGATTTACATGAGATATTAGGAAAAAATTCATTCATGTTTGTGTGAGTGGCAAAGGCAGAAAGCATGGTTAGTTTCTGGTGCTGAGTCTGGCTGGTATCTTCTCAGCTCCTGAAAGCCAGCACCAGCACATGGTCCCATCCCATCACCATCTCTGAGCCTGCCAAGTGGTATCAGGTAATCACAGACATTTTAAACAGTTGGGTATTTTGTCAGCACCTTGAAACAGTGCTGTAGAAGATGCAGGTTTGTCCCCCACACCTAGACTCCTCTTAAGCACAAGGTTAAAAATGATATGAGAGAGAAAAGAAGACGAATAGGTGAAAGGAGACAAGGGAAGGAGATCACAACAAGTCTCACATTTTGCCTCGTGATGGTGACATGGGAGTAGGTTTCTGGTCTGATCTGTCAGGCCATTCCCCAGAACAGCCAGAGCTCACAGGTGATGTGGAAACTCATCCCATCATCTATAACCAATACTCTGGCACCAAAACACAACCACAGATCCCCATAGGACTCCAGCAAATTCTCATCCCATCATCTATAACCAATACTCTGGTACCAAACCACAACCACAGATCCCCATAGGACTGACCAGCAAATCGCTCATCTCCTTAAAATTTTGCCTGTTTGGTCTAACTCTCAAAAGCCACGTCCACTTCTGGCTTTTCAAGCTATTGCTCCTCTGGCTTACTGAGCACAAACACTTCTTGGAGGACTCCAGCAAATTGCTCATCTCCTTAAAATTTTGCCTGTTTGGTCTAACTCTCAAAAGCCACGTCCACTTCTGGCTTTTCAAGCTATTGCTCCTCTGGCTTACTGTACAAACAGTTCTTGGGTTGCTTCAACCTTTTAGGTGGCAACCTTTATTTTCTTTACATGTTTAATTTCAGAGCACTTTTAAAAGCAATGATTTTGTGGAACAGGCTGTGTCCCTTTAAACATCCCCAAAGGAGCATCTGCCTGTTGTTGAAGGTCCAGAGAAGCCTGACACACCTGCAGGCCAACACATCCACAGGTGTGTCTGGAGGAGGCATCTACCTGGGTTCACATCATTGCTGTGCCTCTCAGCCCACACTAACTCAGGGGTCTCTGCAGCAGGATACTTCCAACATCCCAGAAGAGCTGCTACACACCAGGATCCCTGCTCGAGCTGCCAGAAACGGCCCAGCCAAGGGTAAGAGAGAGCAAGGGGACATGGAAAGGAGATCAGTAAGAAGCAAGCAGAAGAGGGAAGGGATAGGAAAGGCCACAAGGCTCAGATACCAACCTGGGACCGTAGGTTGCTTGGCCTAGCAGGTTGTGAGAAGACACTGCAGGACTGCTACAACTCCTACAGCTGTGTCTTCTCCTCCTGGTAAAGCACCCGAGTCCCCAAAGGCTGCAATTGAGAGGCAGAGATGCCCAGCTGGGCACCCGGGGGTTGGGACCGTCGGTGCAAGGAGAAGAAAAACAAGCAAGGCCTTTCACAAAGGCTGGTCCTCAGCTGTGAACTGTGCTTGCTCTCGGTGGTGATATGAGTGTGCTTTTTACAAGAAACACACATTCGTTTGCCGTGTTCTTAGACTGCTGGGAAGGAAAGCCAACCACCTACCTCATCACAAAAGCCAGCACCTCAAAAACAACCAGACTCATAATTACAACCAGCTGCACTCTAAGAACACCTCCATTAGAAGGAAATAACCCCTGATGATGATCATTCAATTTAGAAACAATCCCCACGTGGAAGTGCCTGCCTTCCTGAGGGGTGTGTGGTTTGCAGTTGGTAGCTCTGGCTGCAAAACCTCGTGACCCATGGGTGAGACTTCCTTAATTAGCTGCCTTTGCATTTTCTTGATGAGTTACTTCACAATTCACCCAGTTAACACCACTCTTAAGGTAAGCTGATGGGTGTTTAAGAGAAATTGCACAGCAGCTCACACCCATTTAGCTGCAACGAGCCCGATGCCCAGGTGTCGGGAGGGAGAGATGTAGGTTAGTTTTCTCCCCACAAAACAAGTGAGGACAACCCCGCGGGTGAGGTTTATTGAAAGGAAGAGAAATAGGTCAAGAGCAAGAACTGGGGTGTGCAGGGTGCGATTTCCTGGTCAGCGGTTACTGTAAGAGGAGAGCTGGTGTTACGCGTGAGCGTGCCAGAAGACGCCTCCATGGGTTTGCTCTCCACCACATGAAGACCTCAGTGGTCATAATGAAACAGCTGCTGCCACAAATGAGTACAAGTGCTTGTAACTGAATGAGATGGTTTCCCCCCCAACCCCAACCCTGGTTGCCCATGGCTTGTTGAACTGGCTCCCAGTGACCCATGGGGCAGCAAATACACTCAACTCAACAAACAAGCACCAAAGGAGTCATCTGGACCCAACCACTCGTTTGGCCTACCCAGGGGATGACACCCAGGGTCTACCTGCACCAGGTGTATCTAATTTAAAGTAGCTTCTGTGCAGCCAAAATGAAATATGGGGTTTACCCTGGTTCAAATGCAGGTGAACACGGAAATACAGGCTTAAAACCTCCACCGGTAGAAACCAAAGTCTGAGAATTTGGCTCAGCTCTGGGTGAAAGATGAGTATTGTTAAGAAAAGCAACAATGCAGCAATTTCATAAAATAATTAGTAGTGAGTCTTGCTAGGCTGTGCTCCTTGTGGAGTTAAGGGAGAAAGAGGGCAATTCCTCCTTTCTTAAGTTAGGACACCTCGGCTCAGCAAGTTTATTCCTTGTTCCCTGGGTGTGGGGGGATCCTCATCCACCACTTCAAGCCCAACACCTAATATTTGGCTGTTTCAAGAGTGGTGAGATGAAACCATCTTTGTTCATTTTCCCACCTTCTTGCTAGCCAGCCATCCAATTGATGGAGAACAAGGGAGCTCATAAGGATGACACCTTGTTTGGAAGAAGATGGGACTTTCCCAGCCCACATGAACCGGACTTGATCCTCATCCCAAATTTCAGCTGTAGCTCTACAATGTGATGTCTCCCACCTCTTTCCCCATCATCCTAGTGACCATCCCCAAGGTCTAGAGAACCTGACTCCACTGAGAACTCCCCCAGCGCTGCCTGTATAACCTCAATTCACCACTTTGAGCCCTTTTTTGCATCTATTTAAGCTGCAAGTTCTCTTGTGCTCCTTCTTACTCATATCACTGCACCGGAAAAAACCTGATCTTTGCTGAAATCACTCAGTGCTACTGCAGCACAAGCCCATTCTTTGTGTTCTCTTTCATTTTGAGCTACCATAAAACAACATTCTTTCAAATTAAATAGAAATTTTATTCGGTGGATAAATTATTGAATAAATACAGATAAATATTTATCATTTTTTGGGTACTCCGAGCACATATAAAGCCATAAATATAGTCATAAATAAAAAACATAAATAGAAATATAAACACTCCCCATGGAGCAGCAGTGACACAAAATCAGAGTACAATGAGGATCAGGCCTGGTGGCTTTTTTGTCAGATTTACACTAGAAATAGGCTAGTGAGCAGTGATGGCCAGGGAAGGAAAAAGGGCTTTGGGGATGGGGGAAGGAGGGAGAAGGAGCAGGAGGAGAGGTTTTTTTGTGGCAGTGCTTGTTGGCATGTACCCAGTGGGGCAATTTACTGCTGAGAACAGCTTTTGAAACTGTAATTCATTTGATTCACCAAATAGATATAAGTCTTCTCGACGTTGCCCCATCTTCTGATCTCTCCTAGGACTGGTGGTGGATGACTGGAGCAGCACACGTGCAGCCCACGGTGATGACTTTCTTCTCCAGGCGGAAGATGGGTTCGCAGCCCCCCTGCTCCCGCCGGAGGACGAGGATCTCCTGTCGGATGGGGACGGAGTTGAGGCTGTGGTCCTCCTGCCCCAGTGTGTTCACGCAGCCGGAGAGGCGGCACTTGGCTTCAGCAATCACCCGGGGGAAGCGGTTGGGGTCCTCATCCAGCCTGGGGATGATGACACAAAAGGGGTTTATGCACTTGATCTTCTTATTTATCACCATGAAAGGGCCCATTCTATTTACCTCTGTGTCCTCACTATGAGACAAAGCCAAAGAATTTCCCTATCTTCGACATTTTTAGAACAATTTCCTAGGAACGGAATCAATTTTGGGAGGGTAGTGCTGCCACATCATTCTTTAGGACATGATGAATAGAGCAGAGCTGGGTGAAATACGAAACTGATCGCAAGCGAACTATTCATTTTTGTTTGGTTTTGGTTTAATTTCAGCATTCAAAAACATCTTTCAGCTATGAAAATGTAAAATTACAGGGTACTGATATTTTTCTTTTCCTAGAGTAATAATTCTTTGACAAATATCAGTAAGATGATTAGAAAGTGTTCAAATTATGTCCCCTTGCACTGCAAACAGTTTCTCTGTCACTCAACATCAAAACCTAAGTGTGTACCCAGAAGTGTTTGCAATATTCACAGGACTCCAGGAACATGCTGAGAACCAGCCATCATTCACCAAAAAAAGGCATCTGTGCAGCACAGCTATCGCGATATAGATAATAAATAAAAACTTACCTGTAGTCCCAAGGAGCAAGAGACCGGTTCCTGACATCGTGGATCATTCTAGAGGTATAATCTGAGTTGCTAATACGAATGTTAACGTTCACTGTGGTCGGGAAATTGAGATTCTTTTGGTTCGGGCAACCTTCTCGAAGCCTCACGGAGCCACTATCCCTGATGGGTCGAGGATGAGCCTCCCTCCCATGGGGTGAGCTCCTCACGGTGAGTGCTAGAACCAGCACCAAAACCAGTGATCTGAACTGGGAGAGAGAAAAAGTCTCATTAGCTGTGGTCAGTCAAGAAAGAGAGAGCCCGAAGAGCCAAGTCTTGACCAGTCTGGACCATCAATGGCCCGTCTTCGTACTTGTATTTGGGAGAGACGAGCCAGCATGAGCAAACAACATGATGGTGATGATACTCATCACAACAGATGCTGAACTCTGATTTAAATTCTGATTCATATCTGGCTCTGCACCAGCCAGCGCATCTCTCCAACAAGCATTTCTCCTCCTCCTCAGTCAAACAGCAATGTCTTATGATCTACAAGGTGTGGCCAGGACTCAGCTGACCTAAGCCTCAGCTTTTCTAAGCCTATGCTTAGAAACTTAGTAAGGCGTCTGCTTTCTCAGGGCAGGAAAGGCTGGCCACCAAGCAGACACCTGCTGGAAAAAAAAACCCTTTCTTGATGAAATCTGAGATTTTTGGACCGTTTCCAGGAGCTAGGGTTTTAGAAAAAGACGACAGATAAATACATAGCTTTTAAGAATGTTACAAGAGTTGTCAGTCCTGCAAATACTACCCAGGTTGAAATGTAAATGCACTTCACAGTGACATTTCAACAATTTCGATAGCACGGTGCCTGAGAAAAGGACCATCTCTCCCAGTCCCACACCAGCAGTGCTGCCCTTGCAGATAAATAATGGATAGTCCATTGCCTCCTTGTCACTCCAACACCAAACCCACTTGCAAAAGCTCAGGACAGAAAGCTGTATCAGACCCAGCAACCCATTCAGCTCCAACTAAGACCAACAAAGAGTTGCTCCTAGATGACAGCATCCGCCTTCTGCTTTTTCTCTTGCAGCAAATACATCTTAACACTTATAACAAACATTAAGTACTTACCAGCCCAGTGCAGCTGGCAAAAGCCATGGCAACCTCTCTTCTGATTTAAGAGGATGCAGAATGTGACAGAGCACCAGAGTTCTCCTTCTCCGAGACCTCTTCCACGCTGCTTGTGTCTCGAAGCCAGATGTGGTCTCCTTTTTATAATGAAGTTCCAGCCCTACCATCCTTTCCATTGCAGCATGCAGCTGGCTTACCTGACCCGAGGTTAGGAGCTGATATTTCATTTTCTAGCCCACTTCCTTCCGTCTACCTCCAGAAAGGGGAGGGCAGAGACTATGTCATCAAAATCCCAAATCAGCCAATACAGTTTATTCAGGCAGATAACGAGATAAGGGAAGAAAAGGAGAAAAAAAAAATTGTTCAAGAAGCTTTTTTTATTTATCCCCTTCCCGCCCCCTCTTTCTAATATTAATCACCATTAAACACATCTGTGGGTGCACTTCCATGTGCCTCCTACAAACCAAAGAGCAGAGATCAGCACGCTGCAAAGTCAGGCACCCAGCAAGGCTTTCAAAAGGAGGACAAGATGCAGAACTTCACGGTTTAACCTCCTTTTGCTTCAACTGCACAACCCACCCCCACCTCATCTCGGGGATCCCTGTGTCCTGCAGTGACCAGGCAGGTGAAGAGTAGATGCCCAGGGGATGTCCTCCTGGGGAACCTCAGGTTATCAGGAGCTGGGATGGAAAGCATCCCTAATCATTGCTGAGATGCAATGTTGACATGTTCTGGAGAGCTCTTTGAAAAGCTCATGCGTGCCCTGAGAGGGCACTAATTGGCCTTACTGGCCTTGACCAGTATCACCATGGGTTTCCCTCTGCAGCCTATCACCAGGAGCCCCATTTCAGTTCAGCTCTGGGCCCCCAGTCCCTGCCTGAGCTACACTGTAGGAGTGATGGTTTCCTTGCCCCTTCTCTGGCTTTGGATGGACTTTGGAGTAGCGTTATCCTGGAAACCTATTTTTATTGCAGAAAAAGACTGGTTTGATCAGCTTCTCTGTGGAGAAAAGGCCCCAGAGAAGCTTCTCCCAAAGGCATGTAGCCAAGCTGGAAGAGGAGCACTGAAGTGTAGGACTCTTTACGCAAATTCATCTTCAGTCCTCCAGAAAAGCAACAGATTTATGGCATTTTTAGTCCGTCAGAAAATCAGGAGCCTCTTACAGATTCATGGCACTTTCAAACGAGAAGGGACTAATCTGGTCCCTGCTCTATCTATCACCTCTCTCGAATAATACCAGCAGAAATCTCGACTGCTGCTGTATGTCGTTGCAGGATGTCATGATTTTGTGGTCTGACTCATCTGACAGTTCAAAGACCAGCAACTCATCTCACATAATTTTTTTTATTCACGTTTCACGTTACCAAATTCGCCCCAAGTAGTAACAATTTTGTGACACATGTTCCTATTCTGACTGTTCACATCTCTATAACCATGAAGGCATCTACTGAGAGGCAGAGCGCAGAAGACCAACAGAGGGTAGAATTACCAGAAATCCACTTTTCAAACCCAGAAAATGACCCCTTTTTTTTCCCCCCGAGCCCTCGCAGTGAAAGGAAAAGGGCATTGCCATGAAAATGGGTTGGATTTTGCAGGTATGGGGTTCAACGGAAACAGTTACGTGTGATGAAGGAATGACGTCATCGCGCCAAATGCTGGGTTATTAGCCCTCACCACCACTTTCCACTCGCACCTTCTGCCTTCAGTGGCTTGTAACTTCAGGAAGGATTCCTTCTTTTACCCGAAATTTCCTACGACTGAACTTTTCTCGTGTTGAATTTCGCTGAAAAGTTGATCTAAAAGGGGTCACCTAAATATGAACTGTTACAAGGGAGGAAAAACACTCACTATTTCAAAAAGCTGTACACTCCCATGTTGCAAGGGTTTGGAGCAGAGATGGGGACTTGGAAATAAGAGAGACATTTTTAATTTCACCTACAGGAACCCTTCTACACCTGAATCACTACAAAGAAAACCACTGTTTGCACTGCAGGATTCATTACACACGTAAGGTTTTCATAGCACTGCAGGGGCTTCAGGCATAAGACACACCTCATTTCAGGTTGGGCTTGGATGCCACATCCTTCTAAGCTCCTCTGGATATTTCAGCTTTCCCACCTCACAGGAGGCACCCGTACCAACTCCAAGGAAAGGTGGAATTAAAAATCTAGAGCGAACAGAATCAAATGCACAAGGTGTGGCCAGGACTCAGCTGACCTAAGCCTCAGCTTTTCTAAGCCTATGCTTAGAAACTTAGTAAGGCGTCTGCTTTCTCAGGGCAGGAAAGGCTGGCCACCAAGCAGACACCTGCTGGAAAAAAAAACCCTTTCTTGATGAAATCTGAGATTTTTGGACCGTTTCCAGGAGCTAGGGTTTTAGAAAAAGACGACAGATAAATACATAGCTTTTAAGAATGTTACAAGAGTTGTCAGTCCTGCAAATACTACCCAGGTTGAAATGTAAATGCACTTCACAGTGACATTTCAACAATTTCGATAGCACGGTGCCTGAGAAAAGGACCATCTCTCCCAGTCCCACACCAGCAGTGCTGCCCTTGCAGATAAATAATGGATAGTCCATTGCCTCCTTGTCACTCCAACACCAAACCCACTTGCAAAAGCTCAGGACAGAAAGCTGTATCAGACCCAGCAACCCATTCAGCTCCAACTAAGACCAACAAAGAGTTGCTCCTAGATGACAGCATCCGCCTTCTGCTTTTTCTCTTGCAGCAAATACATCTTAACACTTATAACAAAAACCCAGAAAATGACCCCTTTTTTTTCCCCCCGAGCCCTCGCAGTGAAAGGAAAAGGGCATTGCCATGAAAATGGGTTGGATTTTGCAGGTATGGGGTTCAACGGAAACAGTTACGTGTGATGAAGGAATGACGTCATCGCGCCAAATGCTGGGTTATTAGCCCTCACCACCACTTTCCACTCGCACCTTCTGCCTTCAGTGGCTTGTAACTTCAGGAAGGATTCCTTCTTTTACCCGAAATTTCCTACGACTGAACTTTTCTCGTGTTGAATTTCGCTGAAAAGTTGATCTAAAAGGGGTCACCTAAATATGAACTGTTACAAGGGAGGAAAAACACTCACTATTTCAAAAAGCTGTACACTCCCATGTTGCAAGGGTTTGGAGCAGAGATGGGGACTTAGAAATAAGAGAGACATTTTTAATTTCACCTACAGGAACCCTTCTACACCTGAATCACTACAAAGAAAACCACTGTTTGCACTGCAGGATTCATTACACACGTAAGGTTTTCATAGCACTGCAGGGGCTTCAGGCATAAGACACACCTCATTTCAGGTTGGGCTTGGATGCCACATCCTTCTAAGCTCCTCTGGATATTTCAGCTTTCCCACCTCACAGGAGGCACCCGTACCAACTTTGAGGAAAGGTGGAATTAAAAATCTAGAGCAGACAGAAACCAAAACTACTCAAATGTTGTTGAACCCAGAGGAACAAACTCCAGGGGCTGAAACGTGACCTGCATTTCACTGACTTCGCTACTGGGCAAAGGCAACGCTGCTTCTCAACTGCATCTCTGCAAACGAACAGAATCAAATGCTGTTGAACCCAGAGGAACAAACTCCAGGGGCTGAACCGTGACCTGCATTTCCCACCTCACAGGAGGCACCCGTACCAACTTTGAGGAAAGGTGGAATTAAAAATCTAGAGCAGACAGAAACCAAAACTACTCAAATGTTGTTGAACCCAGAGGAACAAACTCCAGGGGCTGAACCGTGACCTGCATTTCACTGACTTCGCTACTGGGCAAAGGCAATGCTGCTTCTCAGCTGCATCTCTGCAGATTCCAGCCTGGCCTTGAAGCCCTCCAGGGATGGGGCAGCCACAGCTTCTCTGGGCAACCTGTTCCAGTGTCTCACCACCCTCACAGCAAAGAGTTTCTTCCTGAGATCTCATCTAAATCTCCCCTCTTTCAGTTTAAAACCCTTCCACCTTGTCCTAGGGCTCCCCTCACCTCCAGGGATGGGGCAGCCACAGCTTCTCTGGGCAACATGGGACAGGGATACTTCCCACTCTCACACCAAAGAAGTTCTTCCTCTCAGCCCCCCCTCCCAGCAGAGGGGCTCCAGCCCTTCCAGCATCTCCGGGGCCTCCTCTGGCCCCGCTCCAACAGCTCCATGTCTCCCCTGTGCTGAGGCCCCAGAGCTGGAGGCAGCACTGGGGGGGTCTCCCCAGAGCGGAGCAGAGGGGCAGAATCCCCCCCTGGCCCTGCTGGCCACGCTGCTGGGGATGCAGCCCAGGGGATGGTGGGCTTCCTGGGCTGTGAGCACACATTTCCAGCTCATGTTGAGGTTCTCACCCACCAACACCCTCAAGTCTGTACTGTTATCAGAGGTTGTCCTGACACACATGCGGAACCCTGCGCTTGGCACACGCTGCTGGGGATGCAGCCCAGGGGATGGTGGGCTTCCTGGGCTGTGAGCACACATTTCCAGCTCATGTTGAGGTTCTCACCCACCAACACCCTCAAGTCTGTACTGTTATCAGAGGTTGTCCTGACACACAGGCAGGACCCTGCACTTGGCGTGGTTGAACCTCATGAGGTTCACACAGGTCCACTTCTTGAGCTTGCCCAAGTCCCTCTGGATGGCATCCTGCCCCTCAGGCCTGTCAACCACACCACTCAGCTTGGTGTCATCTGCAAACTTTCTGAGGGTCCCACTCAATCCACTGTCTATACCACTGATGAAGATACTGAACAGCACTGGTCCCAATATAGACCCCGGAGGGACACCACTTGTCCCTGTTCTCCATCTGGACATTGAGCCGTTGACCGCTACCCTCTGGATGTGACCATCCAACCAATTCCTCAACCACAGTCAAACCCAAACAAACTATTTGCTACATCCTACCATCCTGGCCGACAGGACAGTGAAATAAAGCTGAGCTTTACCTACCTTGGAGCTCCTCCTGGTGTCTTGCCATGGGAAACACAGGATTAGCAGTTCCCCAGCTGCAAAGACAGGGAATCATAGAATCATAGAGGTTGGAAGAGACCCTTGGGATCATTGAGTCCAACCATCTCCCCTACTCTACAAAGTCCTCCCCTACACCATATCCCTCAGCACTGCATCTAAACGTCCCTTAAACACATCC